CTTCCTTCCTTCCTTCCTTCCTTCCTTCCTTCCTTCCTTCCTTCCTTTCAATGCAGTCCAGGACCCCAACCCGTGGAATAATGCTACCTAAGTGAACAGTTATTCCTTCAACTACCTGTTCTAAAAACACCTTCAAGACAAGCCCAGGGATGTCTTTAGAGCCTGTCAAGTTGACAATATTGATCATTACAGCAGGGAGCTATTCTGTTTGGTGCTATCAGAAGCCTCAAAGAGTGTTCAAAATTAAGTGAGAATGCCGTTATACCTTGGGAAAGAGTAGTCCAGAGAAAGAGATTCAGTGGCCAAATGTCAAGCCAGGACTCCAGCCATGAGCACTGTCATCTCACATTTTCCTCTGTTCTACATACTATTCTGCCACCAAGTTTAAAATGCCACTACCAGTGCTGGAAAGAGATGACGGTGTCCCATTGTCCTAGTTAAGCTTCAACAATCAACTTGAAACAATTTAGAGTCATGTGATTAGGATGTCTCAACAGAAGAACTGCCTAGATCAGATTGTTCTATGGCTATATCTTGATGGTTAATTGATGTAGGAGGGCTCAGCCCACTGTGGGTGGCACCATTCCTTGAGCAGGGGTCCTGGGTGGTATGAAAAAAAAAAAGGTAGATAAGCATAAGCCATCAAGCAACATTCCTTCATGGCTTCTATGCCAACTTCTTGTTTGAGTTCCTGCCCTGACTTCCCTCGATGATGGGATGTTACCTGGAAATGTAGACAAATTAATCCTTTCCTCCCCTAAGTTGCTTTTGATCAAAGGGCTTTATCATGGTAACATATAGAAAACTAGAACACCCTCCTTTCAGATGGAGCAAGTGAGGCTGGGGTCTGGACCAGCTGTCTGGAAATGCTTCAGGAGATCCTGCCCATGCACCCTGCCATCTCCAGAGCCCCATGCCACACTGCACGGGGCTCTGGTGTTCTTCAGTGGTCTTTGCCATGACCAAGTGTTTCCATGATACCTGGGACTAGGTAGGAAAACTTGGATAGATTGTGTAGATGGGAAAAGACTAAAAAGGTAGACAAAGAATTTGGATTTGATGAAAACTTATTTTTATTCTATCCATGGAAGGAAAGAAGAGGCTGGAGGGGAGGGTAGATTAATAAGGTATGTAAGAGAACACAGGCTTCCTGTTCTCTCAACGTCTTTAACGATGTTCATGGATCCACAGAAGGGAGTGCTGGTAGGAGCCGAGGGGGCCTCATAGCCAACCCAGCTCATTTTACACGGGAGCAAATTGAGACCTCTGGTTTTGGCTGCTGACATAATTAGCTACTAAGCCTGGCCAGGAGCCTAGAGTCAGTCCTTGCTCACAGGCTGGATTTTCCCTCTGCTGGAACCACATGTGTTTGCAGAAAGCATTCCCCATGATAAGCTAGTACTAATAACTGATAAAAAATTACTGGTGATATATGATTCTTATTTTTTAAGATTTATCTTTAATCATGTATATGCCTGTGTGTCTATGTGTAAGTATGTATACATGAATACAGGTGCCCTCAGAGGCCGGGAGAAGATGTTAGATGCCCTGAAGCTAGAGTTAGTTATATGTGGTTGCTATTCATCCAACCTTGGTTCTGGAAGTTGAATTTGGGTCCTCTGCTACAGCAGCAAGCACTCTTAACTGTGGAGTTGTCTTTTCAGCCCCTGTAATTTTTTAAATTTAATTTACTCTTAATTCATTTTTATTTAATGTGTATGGTGTTTTGCTTGCATATATATCTGCGCTCCTTTATTCCTGGTGCTCACAGAAGCCAAAGAAAGTACTGGATCCCTTGGAACTGGAAATACAAACTGTTGTGTGCTGTCATGTGGATAGTGGGACTTGAACTCGGGACCTCTGCAGGAACAGCCAGTGCTCTTAACCACTGAGCCATATCTCCCAGGTTCTCAGTCCTATAATTTTTCAAATTTATTGAGACTGATACATATGCAGCAATTAGGCTGCTTGCTATCTGTCTTGTGTCCCTACAATATGTGTGGGGAACAGGGGATAAAAGAAGTCTGTGATGAGACTTAGCGTTCAGAGAAGATATAATTGCTTTCCTTTATTTTCTCCTCTCTGTTTATCTCTCTATCTCTGTCTCTCACTCTCTTTCTCTGTGTGTCACGCATGCTGGTGTTCATGCCTGCACATATGCACAGAGGTCAGAGAACTCTGGTAGGTAGAACTCCTGCTCTATCACTCTGACCTTGTTCTCTTGAGACAGGGTGTCTCACTGAACTTGCGGCTAGCTAGGCTAGTGGTCAGCAACCATTCTGTTTTTGCCCCATACGGTGCTGGGGCATGAAGGATGTCGTGTGAAAGGGGCAAATGGCTTACTGAATAGTTAGCAGTTGAGAGACAGGTATCACTGCAGCCAGAAAAGATATTTTTCTGGACTCTATGTGTGCTGCCTGGTTTTAACCTTATGTATTAACCTTGTACTTTAACCTTACACAACCTCTATACCAGAGAATCACTTGGGAAGAGCTTCAGTGAGGAATTACCCAGGTTAAGTTGGCTGGTGGGCATGTCTGTGGGGGATTGTCTTGATCATTAATTGATGCTGGGAGACAAAGCCTGTTGTGAGTGACATCATCTTATGAGCTCCAGCCTAAGCCATAAAAGACTGAAGAAAACCAGTTAAGCATAGCTAGTAGACAGGCAGCATGGGTGCATTTGTTTCTCTCTGCTCTTGAGCATGGCTGTGTTCAGCTGCTGGAATCGTGCTGTGACCTTACTGCAGTCACGGACTGTGGCCTGGAGCAATGATCCCAAACGAACCCTTTCCTCCCTTGTGTTGCTTTTGGTCAGGGTGTTTTGCGACACCAACAGAAATGAAATTAGATGTGGCCTCCAAGGATGGATGTGACTTTGGCGAGGAAGGAGGAAAGAAAGTTGTTTGAAGAAGCAGCTTGGGATGAAAACGTATAATCACTCTGAAAACAGCCCTAGGGATGCCAAGTCCTAATCCCCTGGAATTACAAATGCTCCACTGGAAAGAATTCCTTAGTGCGATTGAGTTAAAGGTCTTGAAATAGAGATTGCCTTGGATGGATGATCTGGGTGGTCCCCAAATCCAATAGAAGCATTCAGATACAGGGAAAGTGGGTTGGTGGGAATGTAAACGCTTGCAGCCACTATGGAAACTGATATGGAAGGTCTTCTACAAATAAAATACAACCGCCAGGGAGATGGCTCAGTGGTTAAGAATGCATACTGTTCCCCCAGAGGACCTAAGTTTGATTCCCAGTGTCCACACTAGGTAGCCCACGGCTGCTGGTACTTCCAGTTCCAAAAGATAAGATGATCTCCCAGTCCTCTGTGGTACCTGCACTCATGCTCACATTTTCTCCCACCCCACATATTCATAATTTACCTTATGACTCCTGGGTATTTGCCCAAAGGAATAAAAGTCTAAGTCTCCATACCACAGAGAATCCTGCACATCTATGTTTATTGTTGCTCTAGTCATGAAAGCCTCAAAGTGACCCAGTCTTTATGTACTTCGGCAAACTATAAAGGAAATGTAGTGCGTATACACAATAGGGCATTGTGCTGCCTTAATGAAGAATTGAGCTTTGTATTTGGAGGGAGCTGAAGGCCTTCGTGCTAAGTCAAATAAGCCGGACCGAGGAAAAACTCAATGGACTTGGGTGCTCATGCGTGTGCAGCCAGTGCTCTTAACACCAAGCCATCTCTGCATCCTGCATCCTGCATCCTGCATCCTCCCTAATCTGGACCTACTAGAGTGACTCCAAGTTGCTGCAGGTCCAGTCTTTTTCTGATACCCAGGATGGACTTCTTCTTTTTAAACTGTGATCTCAAATTCTTCATGCCTCACAAGGGTGATGTGATAAAAAATATTCCCTCAATCTAGGACTTCCAGCTTTGGAGGCTCTGGGGGAGGGCGTAGCCCACAGTAAAGAGTGGGAGACCTCCTGCCATGCAAAATGAGCCTTAGTGATAGGAGAGTCAAGTTCCTTCCCCAACCAGGGAGAAACTGATTGAAGTTCTTTCGAATCTCTTTGAGATTCGTATTGAGCTGTGGCTGTTTATAGTCATAAAACAGCTGCAGATTAGAGGATGGAATTGAAACAGTGGGACGCTCACCTCCTGTCCTCTGAGGTTATTAAACACTGCACATCCCCAGCAGCCGCAGGGGACTCTCACACTTTTCCCTGACCCTGTCATTTCTGCAAAGCTCACAATCTCTCCCTTCAACGAGGTGATTTTCTGCTGGGATCCCTGCCTGGTTGTGTCTACTGTAGTGTGTACAGACACTCAAAGCCATCTGCCTCTTGTTTCTCTCTCTTTCAGTCTTCTCACCCTGGACCTTTCTTTCTTTCCCCCACCCTTTTCTTTTCACATTTTGTTTGATAATTATTTTTCTGTCCATGTGTGTGGGGTGCATACATTCATAGGCCAGAGATTGACCCTGACCTTTTCTCCACCTTATCTATCTGTTTGCCTATTTGTTATTTTGACATGGAGTTGCGTGAAGCTCAGACTGGCCCCTCCCTTGCTGTGTAGCCTAGGCTATTCTCAGGTCTCTTCTGCCTTCCTTTTGAGGGCTGGATTACAAGCTGGCATTACGCAGTGCTGGGGATAGAAACCTGTGGCTCCATGCATGCCGCACCAGCCTTTGCCAACTGAGCCTCATTGCTACACTCTTTCTGTCCTAAATTGTTTTGTTTTTTTTTTTTATCATGTGTTTAGTTACAGCGACAAGAAAAGCAGTGAGCCCCCGACTGGCACAGCAAGAAGCTGCCTATTAGTCACCCGTGGCTTGAGTGCAATGAAGCAGCCATGTGACCTGTGGACTGTCTCTGCTTTTTATTCGCAGAAATCCGAGAGGCCTTTCGTGTTCTGGACAGAGATGGGAACGGCTTCATCTCCAAGCAGGAGCTGGGTATGGCCATGCGCTCTTTGGGGTACATGCCGAGCGAGGTGGAGCTGGCCATCATCATGCAGCGTCTGGACATGGATGGTGAGACTGCTTTGTCCTGCCACGCTGCCCCTCCCACCTCACTCACGCTCTGAGCCCCATCTCACTCTCCATGTCAGGGATAGAAACTTGAACTCGAACTTGTCCAACAGGAATGTGTAAGCTCCAGGGCCCAGCAGGGATGGTTTTCGGACAGCTGAAGGGATGTAGGAAGCCAATTTGGTTGTAGAACAATGAGACCGCCTTTTCTTTTTCTCTCCCATTTTATTTATTTTCCCATTTTGAGGGTTGGAGAGCTCAGTGGTTAAGAACACATGTCCTTCGGCACCTATAACCCCTGCTCAGGGGGGTTCTGACATCTTTGACCTCCACAGATTGATGTGCACATGCGCGCGCACACACACACACACACACACACACACACACACACACACACACAGAAATTTTAAAATTATTTAATTTGATTTTTCCATTTTAATGCATGTGGTGTACACGTGTGAGTGTATGCATGATTTTGGCATGTGTGTGCGCAAGCATGTGGAGACCCAAAGTTAATGTCAATTTATAAAAATTAAATTTAAATTTAAAAATATGCCTAGTCTAGCTAGCCACTTGCAGTGGGAATCCCATCTCCACCTTCTGAGTCTGGAATTACAGGCCACAAGACCCACACATGTTCTATGTGGTTCCTGGGAATTCAGCCTCTGGTGTTTACGCTTGGTGGCAAACAACCGCCTCTCTACCTCCCGTTTAAAAAGCATTTGGCATGTGTTTGCATTTTTTGTGTGGGTTTGCATATGTAGATATGTGAGCACATTTGAGCATGTGTGTAGAGGTCAGAGGACAATCTCAGGTGTTGTTCTTTGAGCGCCACCCACCTTAATTCCTGAGAAAGGGTCTTTCATTAGGGAGTCAGGATTCACCCACTGGTGACCAATCCCCAAAGGATCCTCTTGTCTACACCCCTTCGGTGCTGGAATTACAAGAATGTGCTTCTATGCCTCTAGTTTTAATTTTTTAAAACTTTCATTGTGGTGATCTACACTCTGGTCCTCATGCTTGCAAGGAAAGTACTTTATTGACCTTTCCTCCCAGTTGCCCAAACACGCTACACCATAGCTTGGCTTGGCTCTCACCATAGCCTGCAGGCATCAAATCATGGAAGGAGATTCTCTTTTTTCCAGCAGTTGCTACCGCTTATATAATGTTGAGGTGGGGCCTTAAAAATCTTTTGAGTTTCAGGTACTTCCTGAGACTTGTATGTTTTCTTTACTTCCTAGGTCTTAAGAGCCTCCCTCCAGAAAGGAGTATTTCAATTAGAAGGAAATTGCTACAGAACAGCATAGATAAAAAGACAGCTATCACAGACAGGCCTGTTGGTAAAGGTCTGTCATCCAAGCTATCTGGAGAGTGAGGACAGGCAACTGCAGAGTCACGGCCTGCTTTGTGGAATAACAAGCTGTTAAGCTGTGGTGCTTTGAATTGGAAATGTTCCCCACGGGCTCATGTATTTTAATACTTAGTCCCCAGTAGGTGGCACTGTTTGGGGAGGTTCTGGAACCTTTAGGTGGTGGAGCCTTGCCCGAAGAAAACACATTGCTGGGGACCAGCTTTGAAAGCTTATAACCTTGCCCCATCTCTAGTTCTCTCTGCTTTGTGTTTTTGCAGTTTAAGATATGATCAGCTTCCTGCTCCTGTACTATGCCCACCTGCTGTCATATCTTCCCACCACAATGGGCTCTTATGCCTTTGAATCATAAGTCAAAACAAACTCTTTCATAGGTCACTTTTAGTTGTGGCGCTTTATCACACCAAAGACAAGTAACAGATCCGACTTCATGTTCCTTCTTTGAGTTCCTTTCCTGACTTTCCTCAATGAAGGACTGTGACCTGGCGGTATGAGAGGAAATAAACCTTTTCCTCCCCTGAACTGCTTTTGGTCCAAGTGGTTTGTTTTTGTTTTTAATCACAGCGACATAAAGGAAGCTAACACAAAGGGGACTGCTTGCGTCGTCTCTGCGCCAGCTGAGTTTTCTCCTGTTTCCCTGCAAACCGTATCAGGGAGGACGGTGACAATGGAGACCATCTGGTGAATGAAGTACAGCTGTGGATGGTGGTGTTTTTTTTTTTTTTTTTTCCTTTGGCTCAGCACAGAGCTGCTCTATCAGGGGCATGCATTGTCTGAGCAGTCTCTGATGGATGGTGACTCTCTGTGACTCCGCAGGACAGATGCGCCCAGCTTTCTATTGTAGCAGTAGTTCTGAAGCGCTGGGGCAAAGTGCCTACAGCAAAACCTCTCTTCCATTCGCTCCCGTCATCTTTTCAGAGGGGCACGGAAGGACAGTTTCCTACTTAGAACTTTTGGATTATTGTTTTTCTGGAGACAGGGTCTTTCCTTGTATCCATGGCTGTCCTCAAGGTCATGCTGACCCTTATGGCTAAGCCTCCTGAATCATGAGAATATAGCTGTCATACCAACAAAGCTGCCTTAATTAAAAAAAAAAAAAACAAAACACTTTGAAAAATACCACTGTTTATAGAGCTAAACTATAAACTTGTTTTTTAGTTTAAAATTTCTTGGGGCTGGAGAGATGGCTCAGCAGTTAAGGTACTTGCTGCTCTTGCGAAGGACTGAGTTTGGGTCCCAGCACCCGCAGTGGGAAGCTTGTGACCACCTGTATCTCATGTGCACGCGTCCACATACGGAAAGGAGCGTGAGGCAGCTGGTGACTTTGCATCCACAATCAGGAAGTAGAGAGAGTTGAATGCTGCCCCTCAGCTCCCTTACTCCTTTTTATTCAGGTCAGGACACCAGCCCATGCGATGCTACCACTTACATTTAGGACATGTCTTCCTGCCTCAGTTAACCTAATCTAGAAACTCCCTCTCAGACACATCCAGCAGTGTGTCTCCTAGAGGATGATAATGAGTATTTCTCAACCTGTGGGTCTCGACCCCTTCGGTCGATTTGTGACAATGAACGTACATCCTGCATATCAGAAATTTACATTATGGTTCCTAGCAGTGGCAAAATTACAGTTCTGAAGTAGCAACAAAAAGTAATTTTATGGTTGGGGGTCACCACAACATGAGGAACTATATTAAAGTGTCACAGCTTTGGGAAGGTTGAGAACCGCTGCTCCAGATCCTATGATGTTGATAACCAAGATTAATCCCTGGGGAGCCAATACTGTGTGAGCTGCTTGGTTCTAGCCCATGGAAGCTTTCCATGGTCTTGAAGATCCTGCCTGGCTGCATAATGGCTGTAGCCCCATAGGACCATAGGTGGCAACATTCTTCAAGGAGCTCAGGAAGACAGGTTCAGGCACTGCTCCACCTGCTACATAACAGATTCTCAGCGTTCACCAATCTGCTTGCAGTTTATCACAATCATATGAATTCAGCTGACATAATACTGAAGCAAACATTTAGAGAGTTTCTATCCGTTTATTCAACCGAAGGCAGTTCACCAGGTATTTCACAGGTAAAAATGCTTTTGATTTGATTTGATTTTGAGCTCTGGTCCTTTTGGAGACAGAGTCTTGCTCTGAGTTTCAGGCCATCCTGGAGCTCACTCTATAGCCCAGGCTGTTCTAGAAGGTGCAATCTTCCAGCATCAGCCTCTCAAATGTGTACCATCAAGCCCAGCCTACACCGGGCTGTAACACTTTTAAAGGTTTATTTTTATTTATGTAAATATATGGTGTCTGTGCACGTGTGTGTGCCAATGCCCGTGGAGGTCAGAAGAAGGTGTCCAGTCCCCTGGAGCTGGAGTTCCAGGTGGTTGTGAACCACAATGTGGGCGCTGGAAACTGAACCCCAGGTCCTCTGCAAGAGCAACAAGTGCTCTTAACCACCAAGCCGCCGCCCCAGCCCGTATTTATTTTATTGTTAGGTTAATAGAGTGTCTTTGTTCTCTGACACTTCATACATGCAGACAGTACATCCTGATCATCCTCCACTCCTCCTGGAAAGCCCCCATGCCGCCCTTTCCTTCATGGCCTCTTGTTTTCTCTTCTGCACCGAGTCCAGGCAGGGCTGCCTATGGAATTGTTGGCCCATGTAGTTGGCTTGATCTTGCACAGGTGACTATATGTATTTATTTTTTTAAGGCACGGCTTCCTTAAAAATTAAATTTTTCCCTGAAAAAAAAGGTACTACTAGTTTTATAAAAATAATGACTAAATGTGAAAAAGAGTAAAGCTAAAAAAAAAAAAAAAAAAGCCTAGTCGAAGTGGGAAATGTATGTCTGTAGGCATTTTATTACTAAGGCTGTGACAGGAAGCTTTGGGGCTGCCAAGTTCTGGGGATGGCTGGATTGACTGTTCTCTTAATGAGGCCCTTTGAGCTGGTCTGTTTTCAAGAAATTAAAGTGTAGTTATAGTTTTCCCTCCTTGCTTCTAGACCTGGGTATCTGCCGTTGGTCCTAGGTTGACTCTAATTAAGTTGTTCTTTGAGGTAGAGCATGAGGAATGGCGGTTTTTTCTTTTTATGGGGGTGATGAATGTGTGTGTGTGTGTGTGTGTGTGTGTGTAAAATAGAAAGGGCTGGGAAAATAGCTGCATCATTAATGTACTTGCCTAAAATATAGTGGCTTTTGTGTTTGCAGGATAAACACTAATTGATCCTGGTTTATTAATTGCTTGTATTGTAGTTAAAATTTGTAACTCTTAAAGGGGCTTGGATGAGAAACCAGTAAGAAAAACTGATTCTTGTGCAAGTATGAGCGCCTGAGTTCGATCCCTAGAACTCAAAAACCAAAAAACTGTAATCCCAGTGCTGGGGACACAGGGATAGGTGGATCCCTAGGATTCATTGGCCAGCCTACATGGATGAGTTCCAGTGAGAGATGCTGTTTCAAGAAAAATAGATAAGATGGAAGGTATTTGAGCAACAGCTGAGGTTGCACACACACACACACACACACACACGAATATAAAAGTGAACATTTGGGGTGGGCCTCTTTTTCATAGTCCAAGATGACCACATCTGCTTAGTTCTAGATCCTGGCATCCGAGGGTCAGGAAATGTGGACATGATTA